CAGTTGCAAAATATTAAAAAATGTAAACAATGTTGTCCCAGAAACTATAAAAGCACTATATGGGAAATAAAAGGAAGGACAGCATGTTCAGGGGTTCATCATAATTATATTATGTAAGAGCAGCAAGTGAGAGCAGTTTTTATTGCACCGCAGTCCCTTTGTGGAACTTTCCAAGAAGGTGATTGTAACCCTGGGGAGTTATAGTGTTTATAGCTGCAACAGGCCTTTTCTCCACTAAGGAGAGGACTTTCCACTTTATTTATTAGCAATGTAATACCATCCATCTGTTCCCCTGTCTCTATTAAAAAACAAAAACACTCACCCAGTGTCCCGCAGAGGAAATAACTGCAGCACCACAGCAGCCCCTGTAGGAGGACGGGCCAGTCGTTTGCATAAAGGGCAGGAAAACATTTATTGGCCAGACACAGACAAGTACAACAATAAGAGGATTAGAGATGCCATCTTGCACTCAACATGCACACATAAAATAAAATGAAGTGAATCACTGCGTGACATAATCCCCCCTATTGATTCATCTCTTGTTGCGAAAAGGGCAAATCCAGTTACAAAGAAGTGAATCATTGGTTCACGCAGCGTAACGCAGTGGAAAATCCGTTCTTGATGTCAGATTTTACATCATGGGCTACATCCAGACCACTTTGTGGCGGACCAGTGAAAACTCTCTCTCTGCCAGTGTACATAGATGAGTATATTTTAAAAAAATTATGTGCTATTTCAACAGAAAGACATCTGTAAGCATGACTCTTTGAAGTAAGAAGTAAGTGTGTAAAATTACAGAAATCTATAAATAATTACGTTGGTATAGCATGAATGGCCATTGGGGGGGGGGGGGGGGGGGGGGGGGGGGTCTTTATCAGTAAAATGCAAAATACTATTAAAAGTCTAAAATTTCTTTTCTCCTTCACATTTTCCAAAGTCATCCTGTGGACCAGATTGGAGTCTTTACCGGCCAATTCCGGCCCCTATGCCTCATGTTCGAAACCCCTGCCTTACTACATGTATTTCTGTATTCATATCGTCCTCAGTTGTAATAACTCTGTGATGATTACTTTTTAAGTAACAGCTCTTGAAGCCAAAATGTAAATGTGGTCAAAGGTTAGTTTCTGATTAAATGCCCCTAAAACTGATAATACTCCCATAATGCTGACTTGTACTTTGTGCTAAGTGCCAATTGGCAAATCTTAGCATGCTTAGGCTGCACGTTGCTCTGAGAACATAAATATGATCTCAGAGATGCCAAGAAACTGATGGAAAGCTGATGGGTGAAATGTGCTGCAGAAGCATTTGAAAGCATTCATATTGTGATGCACTTCACTTTTGTAAGTAAGTGCTCTGCCTTCATAATGCATAAGTTTTATAGCATCTGTCTTGATGGAACAAGCCACAAACTTGGGCAAAGTTTGACATTCATTTTGCCTGAAAAAAAAAAGAATCATTGTTTAGGGGCTGGCAATTTTTTTCCTAAACAGTCACTACAACAACTTTGGCCTTGTTGCTTGTCCAAGTTAATTATTAACCATATATCTGAACTCAACACCAGCGAGAAACAAAATAACATATGTCTGATAAAATATAGAGGTGAGGACACTCGTTAAAAATAATGAAATGCTTTGTTTTTTCCATCCTGGCAAATGAGTACAACTCGGTTACACAACTGTATCAGTGTCAAGGCCCCCTTCCCTCTGTCTTCCGGTCCTGGCGGGACACTCCTTCCCTGTGGAAGCCTCCTGCCAGGTGTTAATAGACACCCTGCTTTCCTGTCCATTCCTCCCTCGATCAAGCGTGAAGTTGAACCAACCCCCGAGTGGTGAACGCAGTGTGAAAACTAGGCTACATCTCTGGTTCTGCAGTCCGCCATGGCCCACTGAGGATCCACTCATGCACACCTTTTCCAGGACAGCAAAGCTTGCACTTGAGGAGGATATTAAATATTCAGTCTCCTGCCTCTACAGGCCTGCAGGGAAAGGAGGCTTGGGGCTAATTACTGAGCTGGAGGGGGGGAGTGTGTGTGTGTGTGTGTCTCTCTCTCAATATGTTTGTGCTTGTTAGGGGTGAGCGTGTGCCATGGTTGTGCAGAAGCAGCAACAGCCTTGATCAGATTTATCTTCCATTTATGCAAACAGGAAATGGGACGGGCTGTCCTCATGACTCCAGTGCTTGTCATTAAGAGCTAATGAGGTAACACAGCACTGACCATAACCCTCTTTAGCAGCGCATCTGCGTCTTAATGTCCCTGCTGTACTGTAATACATTTGCCCATACATATTTCACCTTTCAGTTGTGCACTGTGTCAGCTACATAAAGACGCTACTGATTCATTTTAACTTTAACTTTGGAACACAATCATATTGCACCCCATGTGTCCTTACCACAGGGAGCTCATTGGTTTCTGTTGCAAAGCACAGACTGGGTTAGCCTCATTTTCCCTTCGTCACAGATTTGTCACAGCGCCGAGTGTCCTCAGCAGACATCCTTCTCTGCCTGTGTCTATCTGTATCACTGTAGCGAGCTTGCGTTCCTATAATCTCCTCTCTGGCTGACCCTAGTTGGCTCACTACCAGGGTGTGAGGAGAAAAGGTGAGCGAGGGAGATAATTTGATGGGAACTGGAGCTCATCATCCTTCAGGTGCTCTCTTTACACAACACAGCCAGGTTTCAGCGTGATACATTAAAGTGCTCTCCAGCCTGCTAGAAAAGTCCTGATCTGTTGAGCGCGGTTTCCACTGAACACTTCAGGCTCGGTCTTGAGTCCCAATCTGATGCTAAATCAGCGCGCTCCCTGCATGATTTGCTTTTCCCAAAACTCCCCTTTAGGGCTTCTGCTAAGTTGTGTGACCTCCACATTCTCGCAAAACTACTGAAAACAATGCTGCAATCTTTTACCTTTTACAGTTAAGGGTAACGTTTGTATTTTTATAACTTTAGCTGATTTATTTTCTTGAGTGTGATTATTTAGTTACCTGAAATCTACCTCTAACAGGTCTTATTTCAGAGTTTAATCCATCATTTTGACTCTCTTGGGACCCACACCTGGAGGCAGGCTATTTCAGGGAAAGCTCTGATAAAGTTTACATTTCGGGGTGCCCTTTAATTCCCTCTTGCTTCTAAACTCCTGTCCTCTCTTGCCTCATCCGAACAAAACTTTCACTGCTTTTAGCCCCTCTCTCTTTAAAGGCCAAGCTAGGTGTGGAAGCGCTCACCTGTCAAGATTAATTAAAGCTTATAGAGGTTGACTGGCACAAGGGAATAATCCCGCTCTCCAGTCGCCTGGGACATGGCCTCGACAGTGACCTTGTGCTGGATTTCACACTGACTCCAGGACAGGAATAATAGGTGTGGCACACTTACACAGCCACAACGGTGTAGGCTTCCTAATCCCCAGCACTATGACTAGACCCTGTTGTACTCAGCAGATTATATCATTAGTAGGTAGCTCAGTGCTTTAAAAGGTCTCCAGTAGCCTTTCAGTGGGTCTCGCTTGCTACGCATGCTGTCCTTTGCAGCAAAGTAATTCATCCGGGTTTTCTTGAAGCCCGGGGCATTGAAGGATTGTAGCAGAATGAATAGAAATGGAGACAGAGGTAGTAAAGTCTCAAAGGGTTTGTTTGTTTGTTTGTTGGGTTTGTTTTTTTGTTTTTTTCAGGAGTATCGGTACAATCAGAAACTCCCTCTCGCTCTCTTGCTTTCTTGTCTTTTGCTTACACTCTCTTCCAGTGTAGCGCAAGACACAAAAAGAAAAATGCCCCAGAGTTCACATTAGCTCTGACCCTTCTTTTGAAATGCTGACATGAAAGTAGAAAAGCTAAAGGGGCCGTGAACTAATATCATCAAAAGGATGAACCAGGGCGTTTTAGCTATTTCTGAAAAACGCAGTTAAATGCTACAAATGGAGCAACACCAGTTCTTCTCTTTGATACTGAGTTTCTCTCTGGAATGACCGTCCTTGCTGCCATACAAGACTCAAACTCTTATATCAGTTTTGATTCAGTCAAGCATCTTACCTGATCCCAGCCCTGAAGACCAGCTGTACTGTGCCAGTGCAGAGTTGGAGTGGCAGTGTTTTTCCCATTCATCAGCAGACACCCAGTCATAGACCTGACTGTCAGTTTCCATTAGCCGGCGATGCTTGAAGAAAAGCCAGAAGGTCAATTGAAGACACTGAGTGTTGTTCTGAAAGAAGCTTTTCAAACCATCTGGTCTAAAAAAATATCCCATCAAGGCTGTCATCATATCAGATTTTCTCTACATGATTAACTCAGCCAAACGATGGTTTTAGTATCTGCACTGATATTCGCTGTGAATTGCAATAAAGCAAAATGACTCCCCTGAATGTACAGCAATGTCTGATGTATCTGTGATACTTTTCCTCTTTGTTGCGAATAATAACTTTGATGAATCTGGTTTTGAAAATAAAAACTGTGGTGCGAGCTCCACATTCAGGGTAATGAGAAAGAGCCTTCCATGAATACAAAACAGATGGCTTCAGACTTGTTGCATACTCTGTGCAGTCTTTTAATCTCTAAGTGTTCATTTCTGTCTAGACGGCCATCGGTTAAGAGATATTCTGATGATCAAGCATTTGCTTCTTGTTTGTGTAAGATTAACAAAATGGATTGGGCAATTACTCCGAAACTATCCACATTTGGCATGCATGTGCTGATCAATATCACACTTTTTGATTTGTTCAGCTCAGCTTCTGTAGTCTAAAATGTGAGGAATTTTACAAATAGCTGAATTTTAGCTAAATGTTACTAAAATAGAAGTAATTGACACTGCTAACATGCTAAAGCTCCTTGTTCCCCCTTCAGGTTTACCACAGCGATGGACTATGGAGTGCTGTTAAACTATTTCAGTGTGAACCAAAGGGGAGAACTGACTGACCTGCACTGTTCTGGGGAAATAGCAATAGATGAGTACAGAGCAGTGGAAGTTTATACCGCAGACATTTTTTTTTAAACATTTTTCTCTCTGTTTTCCAGATCCTGGCAATCATCTCCATCCTCTTCATTGTGTTGTCCACCATTGCCTTGTCTCTGAACACACTTCCAGAGCTGCAGGACACAGATGAGTTTGATCAACCCACCGACAATCCACAACTGGCCCATGTGGAAGCCGTGTGTATCGCGTGGTTTACTATGGAGTACCTCCTTCGCTTTCTCTCTTCCCCCAGCAAATGGAAGTTCTTTAAAGGTCCTTTGAATATTATTGACCTGTTAGCCATCTTGCCCTACTATGTCACCATCTTCCTGACAGAATCCAACAAGAGCGTGCTGCAGTTTCAGAATGTCCGCCGTGTGGTTCAGATTTTTCGGATCATGAGGATCTTGCGTATTCTGAAGCTAGCCCGTCACTCCACAGGTCTTCAGTCCTTGGGCTTTACTCTCAGAAGGAGTTATAATGAGCTGGGTCTCCTTATCCTCTTCTTGGCCATGGGAATTATGATATTCTCCAGTCTGGTGTTCTTCGCTGAGAAAGATGAAGAAGACACTAAGTTTAAGAGCATCCCAGCTTCCTTCTGGTGGGCTACCATTACTATGACCACAGTGGGTTACGGAGATATTTACCCAAAAACTTTGCTGGGAAAGATAGTCGGCGGGTTGTGCTGCATTGCGGGGGTTCTGGTGATCGCCCTGCCTATCCCCATCATTGTAAATAACTTCTCTGAATTCTACAAAGAGCAAAAGAGGCAGGAGAAAGCCATCAAAAGAAGGGAGGCTCTGGAGAGAGCTAGGAGAAATGGTAGCATTGTCTCTATGAACATTAAAGACGCATTTGGCCACAGTGTGGAGCTCATGGATGTAATGGTGGAGAAATCTGATGAAATGAAGGAGAAACTCCAGGATAACCATGTGTCTCCTAATATCCACAAAGGGACTCCGAAAAACAAGTCAAAGACCAACCCAGGCAGCCCCACCAAGACCCTTGAATCAAACTATGTAGAGCAGGCCAAGCCTTCCAGCAGCCCCCAGCACCTCAGTGCACAGAAACTGGAGGAGCTGTACAACAAGATGACCAAGGCCCAAACGCAACCCAGCCTCACCGGCAAGGAAAAGGGGCAGCCGTCCAAATGTAGACAAAGAGCTCAGCTTGAGATGGGAAGCATCCCCAATGAAGCTATCCCAAGCACACTGGAGGTTGTGACAGACATGAAGAGCACGTCCAGTATCGACAGCTTTATCAGCTGTGCCACTGACTTACCTGAGAGCTCTCGCTTTTCCCAAAGCCCCATCAGCAACATCCCGGGCAAGGTCAGTACAAACCCGAGCCTGGAGACCACCCTGGAAAATGAGCATGAAGGCGCCACAACACCCTTGACAGGCAAAGGTACAAACTCCAGAGGCACACACATCAACAACCCACTCAAAAGTCGTTCTCATAAAGTCAACTTCCGAGGCGGTGAGGATTCGGGGACGGGAGTCCTGTCAGACAGCTCGTCCGTGCATAGCCCCGAGGCATCCATCTACACGACCGCCAGCAGCAGAACACCCAGCAAGAGCCCAGAAAACTTACTGCCTAGCATGTTCACGTTCCACGATGCCTCCGTCAGTAAGTTCATTGATGCTGACACAGATGAGGAGGAGCACCCGCATGATGGTTCAGTCGCCAGCCCAGCCCAAAGACTCCTGGAGAAATCCAGCCCCAAGTTTGGCCATCGCTCCACTTTCCAGCAGGCTCCCAACCACATGGAGGGCCTCCAACGGAAGCTGGGAAACAGCACACTGCCGTTAGAGGGGCAGGAGAACCACGTGGCTCAGGAACTTCAGCCACTTCAGGGAGAGAAGAGTCACTCTAACTCTTAAAGAACCAAAAGAAAAGAGACAACAGACAGAACGTGAATAGAAAGCAAAGGAGGTGACAAGCAAATAAGAAGCGCTGGGAACCTCCCAGCGTTATGAAAGGCACGGAAAACATTTGCGGGAACATTTAAAGACTTACAAAAATACTTCTATCCCGTGAAGAAACAGTAACTGTGCACACTGGGAAAGAATTTTGTGTCCTCTTGAGCTTCTTTCTACTAATAACTCGTAAATAAATCCTTTTAGCAGAGAACTCTTAAGAGATTTTAAAAAAAGAAGCAAGGAATACATTCTGAAGAGTTTTACAATTTATACATTTCTTTTAGCCTGTCCAGTTGACTACAGTTAATCTTTTTCATAAGGCAAAAACCTACTTTCCCGGCATCCCTGGATAGCACTTTGACGCCACAATAGCAAAGGCTGTCAAATCAGTAGCAAACCACAAAGGGCATTGAAACCTGGCATATTGCGTTGTAAGGGGAATACACATTTTCTTTTACTTTCTACACAGTGTATAACCTATATTCAGCGTATACGATGAAGTGGTGGGAAAATGCGTAGTTTGTTTCCTTTAACTTCCTTCCTCGAAACTGGCCTTAGTACACGTCGTCTCCTGTGTTTTATGTTTGTACGGCAGAGCGAAAGCCAGAAATTAACAGGCAGTCAGGCAGCATGCACGTGTGCTTAATCATTACCTTTCATATCTACTATATTTATTCCTATGTAACGTTTGTGGTCTCTTGTCTTGAGTGTGATCTCGAGTAAGACTCAAGTGTTTCAGTCTGTTGTCGTCAAAAAGTTCAGTGTCCTACTCGTTGATCTCTTTTCTTCTTTTCTTTTTTACTGCACAGGTCACATTAAACGACACAGAGACACACTGTGAGGTTATATCCGTGAATGTCCTTCCTGTTCTCGTTGTGCCAGGCTGCTGGCGAGAAAGAGAGAGAGAGAGCACTTTTTTATTATTAACACAGAAGAAAAAAGCGTTATCTGTGCTTGTGTACCTATTTTCTTTGTTTCTAAATGTTTTTTGCATGTCTCTTAGACTTCATGTCCGATGTGGAGGAAACTTAAACGGAAAAAAAACTGTCTGACACTGATGAAAAGTTTCTTGAAGGAGCTGAGGGGGAGTCGCCATTCCTGGTGTAGCTGATAAACTTTGCATTAAATGACACTGCTTATGAGCATCAAAACAGCTGGAAAGACAGCAGTGAAAATCCCAGAGATTTGAGCTTCCGAGTGTGAATATTGTACATTTCTAATTACGCAAGTAGAATCTGTTACAACGATACACATTTATTGTACAAGGTAAAGAATCAAAATAATTTATATTTTTAAGCTATTTTCTAAAAGAATGGATTCTTAGATAAATATATTGTGCATAATCTCATAGTTTTGCATTTCAAGTACTGCATTATTTCAATGGAGCTGCATTTATTAGACAATAATCTGCAGTGCATACCTTTGTATTGTTTGCTACTGTCTCCCAGTAATTCTCTGTCCTTCTGTTCTTTGTGTGATGTGAAGAACCAAAGAATTGTTCTGTCTGATAACTCATGCTGATGATTTATCTCAAAGAATATTAGAAATTGAAGCATTCCTTTTCTAAACAGCAGAACGTGACATATATCAAGGGGGCATACTCGCTCATTGGGGACAAACATGTGAGCCAGAGAGAGCGTGCTGGCCCCTGAAGAAGACGACTGCTGATGGAGGATGAAATAGGAAAATGAAAAAGGAAGGCAGGAACGAAGCACTTTATTTCAGATCCATTTAGAAAGCTAATTTGAGTATTTACACTCTCTGGATCCTGGCAAGTGGTTCGCTTCCAGAAATCCAAAACATTATGCTCACTTGAGTCCACATGACATCTCTTATAAACTTAAAGACACCTCACAGCTATGTGCAGCTTGCCACTCTGATACACAAACAGCAAGGAGGTACATTAGGCCACTATAGTTCAACCAAAGGGATCCGTCATCCCGCTTTTCTGAACACACATGATCACTGGACACATGAGCGATCCGGGCGTTGATCATCCGGTGCTCTCATGCTCTTTCTTACAGAAACCAAGCAAGTATCATTTTTTTATTATTGCAACTTACAACATATCATGCAAGCCAGCTACAAGCAGTCGTTTTCAGTAGTGGACCTTAAGCTTAAAAGAGATATTCACTGCTGTGCAATGTCTGCAGTCATTAGACGTAATATGAGTTAGATATTTTGGTGCCTTTGCTTTTAAGAACGCCTACTCTGCACGCTGAATCTGTCACTGTGCCCTGTCTAATGGAGCCTGAATGACAATAAAACAAACAGCGAATAAACACTGGGTCATCATGTTGTCAGACTGATATATTAGATATCTACAGCCCTTTCTCTCATGTCTTTCCTGTGCACTTTCACTCAAAAAGCACCAAACGGGTGCACGGAAAAGGCCCGGTCCACACAAACAAACAGGTGGGGACTCGCTCGGTAGAGTGAACAACCACTGTTTCCATGGTGATGGCTGAGATGACTGAATGGCTCAGATTTGATGCAAGCAAGTAGTCGAATTTGTAGAGATGGAGTCCTTAAAGACTCAAATAGCATATTGAGAGTGCAGACAGCATTCACATTCTGTTCATTCCTCTCAGTTTGTTCCCTGCTCGCTTGTCACTCAAGTGTGGTGAAGGCTTAAAAACAAATGTGTAAACAGAAAACTGGATTATGGGCCTCTTAAAAACAGTCACATATTCCCTTTTTTTTCATAGAAACATGGACACATTTCAGCAAATTACAAGACAGCAGACAGAGTACGAACATATGCCCCCATCTATGGTGATGCAGTTAATAAAGACTTCAGCTTCCTAGCTGTGCAGTAGAACTGTTACCCTGATTATAACTGACGTTCCTCTGCTCCTTCACCTCATGACCAACAAAGACAGAAGTTAATCATTCAGAGGAGAGCATGGAAGTATTAACAAAGAAATTTCCTTTTTTCTTTCGCTCATTTTTGGGAAGAGTAAAGCGTCTCTCAGGCAAAAGAACTGCCTTGACATTCTGTCAGTAAGAAGCAGAGTTATGCAGTCAGATTATATCACTCGTATGCATTTTCCATTACAAGGCCCAGCCTTGTGCTCGAGTCTTCTGTGAAGAATGACAGTGCAAAGCAGGCAGATGAGGCAACCTTTTGAGGATGTGTTCAATTCAGTGAGTCTATAAATACAATCCTGGGCATGCACCGGAAAGGTCTGAGCCTGCAGGAAAGGCTCAGTTACAGCAGTGTGTTTCGTCAGATGGCGTCATGCAGTTTTTGAAGAACAAACTTTGCCTGCAAGTCTGGCAAAAGGGGTGGCTTGGAGGAAGCTACACAGCTACACCGCTGACTGTGTAGTTACTTTGCTTCTTTTTTTTTCTTGCAGCCCAGCCCAATGCTGCATTGTAATAGAATAAAAATGTCAAACTGACAAATGGTCATATAACTTTGGCTGCTGAAGGTGCTAGGGACATAAGAAAAGAACAAGGAAAGGGGGGAGCATGTGTCACACGGTGAAGAATGAAGGCTCATTAGCATTCAACAGTCAGACATGCAGTAAATAATATTTTGGAAAATGAGCCTCTAATCTAGTTGACTTTCTAAACAAGCCATAGTCTATTTGAATACATTTTTTCTGTGTTGGATGAATGTTAACAATGTCCTTGTTGCTTTTTATATAATTTCCTCTTGTTTTCTGAACTGCACTTTATTTATTTTGCCTAAATTAAGCCCTCGGCTTCTTAACGAGAATAGGAATAACAACACAAAGAAAAAACTGAGAAAATACAAACTTACACATTAGTTCATACAACTCCAGAAAGCACAAGTTTTATCACTGAGTAAGTATTTCAAGCCAAATACAGACACTTCATTTGATTTCAATCCTTTTCTTCCCCCTCCTTCAGGGAAATAATCATTCTGTTCAACTCACGCAGGTCTGTACGTCGCCCCATCTGTGTCTGGGAAAATGTCTCTTTTGTAAAGTTTAGTACTTTGTACCAGTTGACTTTGTAGAATATTTGTGATTTCCCATTGTTCAGTGCATGTAGCGCTATGAAACTTTGACACACAGAACTTGTAAATATTATCTAAAAAAGAAAAGAGAATAAAAAGCTATAGGAAAATGTCTATAATGAGCAGTTTTGAAGCAGATTTCTCATTTTACTGACTGATGCTTAATAAAGACAATAATCCAGTGTTGGTCCCGCGAGTCTCACTCTTCTTGTAAGACAGTTCATTATTTAAGCACAGAATTCTTTATTTCGATGCCCGTGGCTCTTGTGGTCCTCCATACATAACAACGTGTGACAGCAAACTGCAGTGACTGCACAAGCCTGAGCTAAAGGGTCGAGGATAAACACTGCTTGTTTTATACAATAGCTCCCTCTAGTGGTATGTTTTCGTATCCATTAAGATGTGTACGGATCCGATGTCTCTGACTAAACTTTCAGGAGTGGGAGGTTAAGTTTCCCATGACGCCACATGAGAAACATGGACTGTTGTGGAGGGGTTCACCAGTAAGTTCATATAGAGAAATACTGAGCAGATTTGGTGCAACTCTCCACAGCAGTCTCAGTATGCCATTAATTTACATGGAAGAACAAACTGTATTTCCTGCATCAAACACAGTACATCTAGTTTTAATGATAAGTGACCAGTGAAGTTTCCATTCTGTGCCAGCAATGACCACCAATACCAACATCAACACTTAATTACTTGTTGATTATTTTTACAGTTATTATTTTTATTGCATTTTTCAAAATCTTAAGGTGACGTGGATATCAATTCAAGGTAAAAAAAAATATGCATCCAACTGTCCATTTTCTTCCATAATGGAGCAAACACTATTAGAACACTGGGACCAGAACAATATTTTTGCTTGACTAATGAGCCCATGCTTTGGCGAGATACTCAACCCCAAGTTTGGTCTAATGGATCCATTGTAGTGTAAGTGTGAATGCATGAAAGCAGTATATGAACAATATGGGAAAGAGCAGAGACACAATTTAATTTAATGACATACAGTAGTGGGGTTACAAACACACTGGGTGTGCAAAGACAGGAATGGAGAAGAAGTGCATCATGGGAAGTCCCACATTCTACTTTTAGGATCTCTCTGAACCACCAGGAAGTGTGCAGTCTGAGAACGAAGTGCTCTGATTGGACAATATGGTATTATCGGGCCTTTAAGATATGATGTGGTCTGATTGTTCAAGAGTTTTATGCGAGGAGACGGGTTTTATATTCACTTCTGGATTTAACAGGGAGCCGATAAAGAGAAGTTGATATAGGAGAAATGTGATCTCATTTTCTAAACCCTTTTAATATTGTCACTGTAGAGATTTCTATGGAAGGTTCACTCTAAAAATTTTATAGTCTAACCATTTTAAAAAAGAAGGTTTACAAGATCGTAGTGAGCCTTGCTATGATGTATGTTTGGAGGCGGTGGGACTGAAAAAAAGGACAGGAGGCTAAGATGGAGGTGGCAGAGTTGAAGATGCTAAGATTTTCATTGGGAGCAAGCAGACTGGACAGGATTAGAAATGAGTGTATCAGAGGGACAGCTCAGGTTGAGTGGTATGGAGTAAAGTTACAGAAGCAAGGCTGAGATGGATTGGCCATGTGCAGACGAGAGATAGTGGACAAAATGGATAAAGGATGCTGAATATGGAGCTGCCAGGCAGGAGGAAAAGAAGACGACCGCAGAGGAGGTTCAGGGATCTAGTGAAGGAGGATGTGCAGAGGGCTGGAGTGACAGAGGAAGATGCTAGTGATAGGGTGAGATGGAAGCAGATGATCCCCTAAAGGGAGCACCCAAAAGAAGAAATTGTTAAAGACTATAAGCAAACAACATCATTCTACACCATGACCGAGGTTGTGAAAAGGATTAAGCTACAGTAAACGCCAGCAACAACCTTAACTGAAGTAGTCATGTCTGTTACACGAGCACTGCAATAACACAAAAACATTAAGTGTGACCTACAGCAGATCACGAGAAAATATTCCAAGAATATGAGTTTATGAAAAACGCTACTTATTAGAGATTTGTGCGCACATGATGAACAGTTTATCAGCTTAACATTTTGTACAGAGTTGGATAATCCACCTCACATCATGGATCAGGAATAACTTCTATACTAAGATGAAAGGAGAGGAATGTATATCATAAAGTCGTTTACTGTAGTAACTGTGACATGTTTAAACTAAAGGTTATAAGTCGCACTTTGAAATAAGACCCTGTTTATTTATTATAAGGAGGACAGATTTTTTTTCTTTTACCTCAAAATGTATAATTAGAAAATAGTCATAATAATTAATACTTTTAAAATATTTTTAATAAATAAAATAAAAATATATAAGTTAAACTCTTAAAATATTTCATTTAAATTAAATACAAAAATAAAATCTACACTTGAAATAATAAACATTTTATGAACTTACAAAACTGCACAGCCTGCTTGATGAGGCTTCCGTGCACGTTTGTTGATTGGTTACGTCATGACTTCGAGGTCAGCTGTCTTCTTCGCCAAGTGTTTGCATTGTAACACCTATTCCGATGGTCATAAACGCCGACAGAAACCGTATTGTATTAAAATGACCGAAAGCAACAGTGAGACTACTAAAACGTTTATATGAGCAGATTCCCCCCGAAAACTTTTTGATTCTAAACTACGATGAAAACATGAACCCAAAACTAAAATAACAGCTCAGAAAGTAAAAGACTGCAATAACTCTGGGTCCACTGAGTGTTATCGTAATCCCTGCCTCAATCCCACAGCCGCTCTTTATGAGTGTATTCAAGCGAGTCACTCAGCTCTTCATTTATCAAACAAAAAGCTGCTCTATTGGCGGCCGCCATCAGCCGACCGTCCTATAATCCGGCACAGTTACATAAAACAAGCCTCCAACCCCAACGTCACACGGAGAGGTAACTACACTCCAAAGCGTGGCATTCTTTTTTGTGTGACTCGTTGGCTTCTCCTGGACGCAGAAGGAGCAGGTGTGTCTAAGCGTCATGATTGTGTTAGTAGACTTGTTGCTGATGCTAATCGACCTAACCGGCTCTATCCTGAGTGCCATCCTGCAGACTTTCCTTCGGCCGAGGCTTAAATGCATCGATGGGGAGCTGTGTCTGATCACGGGAGCCGGGGGCGCGCTGGGTCGGCTGTTCGCCCTGGAGTTTGCCAAAGAGGGGGCCCACCTGGTGCTGTGGGACTGCAACGCGGCTGCCAACGAGCAGACTGCCAGGCTGGTGCGAGAACTGGGCGTCCGGGTGCACACCTACACGGTGGACCTGTCCAAGCGTCG